TGAAGCAGCATATGTTGTCACTTTGACCATCTGCCACTGAATGTGATGGAGAAAAGGAGGGACTTGAATGTGAAGTCCTTTTATCTGTTCTGTGAATCTGCTTGTATATCATGTTAATGACTGTCTTAGCCTGGGCCACCATTCGCTTGAGAGATCTTGAGGTGACCAGTCACTGGGGGAATTACACACAGGAGGTGAGATTTGAGAAGCAGTGCAGAGATCAGAGAGGTTGGTTAGGCATGGGAGATGACTTAGGAGAAAGAAAAGTGCTATGACGACTTACAAAAAGGGGAAGGGAAGGAAAGGATTTCTGATGGGACTCATCTCCAGCCGTTATTAACAGGTGCACGGAAAGGGTGTGTTTTCTCCTTCAAGCTCAGCTGACTCCTGTAGCCTGCCTGTGCTTGCAGCTGGCAGCGTTGAAGAGACAGGCAAATTTTTTTCTGCTTTTCAGACCTCTGAGTATTTCAAAAACACCGTTGCTTGTGTAGAGTACCTAAATTTTTCACGAACTGCCTTGAATTGGTGCTCAGGCAGACTGCTCTGAGGCCAGCCCAAAGAAAGCTGTGTACACAGTGCTAGGTAAGTGATGTTGATAGGTACATTCTGATTGATGGGCGAGTTTGTCTCCCAAACTGTCACAGGGTTTATAGAGGTGCCACTCAATACCAGTGCTGGAATTGCTTGTCAGAGCACCTGGCTACAAGAGCAATGGGGATTGGAGACAGAGCTGTAACTTTGTTTTTTCTCTGCTTAATGGCCCTGGCGTCTGACCTGCCTGCTCACTCCTGTTTGTCTGGACCTTAAGGAGGCAGCTGGGATTAAGACTGTCAGAGAATCGTGCTGCTTTAGCATCAGAAGGCTAATTGTATCAGGGCTGGCAGCCTATGACAAGTGGTTGCCTCCTACCAAATGCACAGCAAGAGCAAAAAGTTCTTCAACAAGGAACAGCAACATTATAGGAGAGGCTGCAGTGAGTTTGTTCTTTTTGCATCTGAAAGCAGCGTTTTCAAATTCACAAGTGGAATTAGGTTCCTCAACCCCTGGGTGACTCCAAAGAGTCACAGCTGCTTCTGTGAATAACAGATCGTGTCTCTTACGAATTCCCAGGTCAAACTCGCAACTTAACATTCAGCTGTCGGATTTCACTTCATTAACACGTGGGGATAAAGTTCTGGTCCCGAGCATTGACCTCTGGAGAGCAGCGCTGGCTGTAGAGGTCCACTCTGGGCAGTGTTGCTGATGGCTGTGAATTACTGCGTGACCTTCAGAAGCCGAGCCTTGCTGAAGGAACCCTTCCCTGTTCCCAGTGCACGCTGTTGAATTGCAAATCACTCAAATCACCCCTAGTGGTAAGGGGTCTTCTGGAAGCTCCTGTTCTCCTCCAATAGATCCAAAACGATGCTGTTGCAAAGGCCATTTTATTGCGCCCTGCCCTCTGCGCTCCGTTTCATGTTTTCCTTGCTCCTGGATGGACCCCACCAGCAGGAGCTGGAAGTTGTGAGCCCTCTTTACATTTGGGCTGAGTTACTGAGAAGCAGGTGTGATCCTTTTGGGCCTTCCTTGCATTTAGTGGTCCTCTTAATCCATTTATAACAGCACTTGTCCAGAAATCTGGTTTGAATGAGCCTGAGATGAATGAATAATGTCAAGCAGTTCAGACGTCAAATATTTGAACAGCTGCGTGGGTGTTTTCACTGGCTTTGTGCATGGAAGCAACCCCAGGAAGTTAGGCAAGGAGGGTCAGGTTGAAATTGTGGCACCAAACGCCATCCCACTGGAACTGGCCTCAGAATCCATCCCTGCTGCAGAAGAAAGGGCATTAGGATGCTGATGTCAGGCCGTTCATTCCACAGGTGATGCTGGGCCAAGCTTTGCATCCTGTCCTTTGGTGTTCTCTTGCGTGCAGGGGCAGTATCGGGTTTTATGAATCTTGATTCGCATCAGAAACGTGTTTTGTGGGGTTTGTTTTTCTTTTTTTTTCTAAAGCAGCTTCTGAAGTCCCAGAGCTGATAGCACAGCTTATATTCAGAGTATTTTCTGGATTCACAGAGGTTACTTTGGTTAGCATACGGTTTCTGAATCGGGGAGGTTTTTTCCATATTGCAGTGGAGTACACTTGTTCATGTCAAAAAAAAAAATCCATATTTATTGAAAAACTGAGAGTTGGATCACCTCACTGTGCCTTCTTTTAGGCATCAGTCTGGGAGTCCTTGTTTGATCAGAAAAGAAAATTCATCCTTCTCGTGCCCTTCACCTTAACCTGTGAGCTTCTCTGCTGCTGTGCCCTCCTCAGAAAGGCTCTATCAGATCACCCCACTGTGTATCTGCCATTGCAACACCGTCCCCCTTGTACTCCTCCCTGTGTACAGAGCATAGTACTCTGTCGGCAATGCAGTGGTTCCTATTATAGAGATGGATTCAGCAAAAGCTCTGGAGTATTTTCCTTTCAGACTTAAAAGGGATTTTCTTAAGTACAGAGGTTTTGAGAGCAAGGACACCAGGATTCTGAAGTCAAGGTGCCTTGATATTTGTAACCTGTATCGCAGTAAGCAGATCTTCTTGTCTTAAGCTCTAGCCATAAACCACTAGTTGGCTTGAGTCACTTGGAAACAAAATTGATGGAAAGGTGGATGTTGGCTGTGTGCTTGGCATCCTTGCAGAGAGAGGAACACAGGGAGTGGTCCCACTTACATTCACTCTTTTGGACACCTTCCCCCGCCAACCAAGGCACTTGCTCCAAGAATTCATTGTCTGGCTAACGTTCAGATCACCTCCTGGGACTGGCCAAGTCACAGCTCCAGCTTTACATGATTTGTGTTTCCCACAGCTACAAGAAAAATGAAGACCTGTGTGTCCAAAGTTTATGGCCTTTGAGAAGTGATGGGCTAAAGTAATGCCAGGTGCAGGGGATGGCGTTACTGCAGGTTAAATGCCATGCCCATAAATTACCACCCCCTCGCCCACTCTTGACTTTTAAAGCAGCTTTGAAAGACTATCCAGCTTCTTTGACAGGTCTCTCTTGCTCCTCTAAATCTTCTCCCAAACACTGTGATGAGCTGAATGAGTCAGGATTTACTAGATGAGCCATTGCAGCTCGTGACACGTGTTGGCTGGCAGCATAAAGCCACTCTGAGACACTCTAGCAGGGGTCTGCTGGAAGGGGGCTGCCACAGTGACACCACAGGGCTGACCTACAAAGGTGGCTCCTGCATTGTTGGTGCTGCCTGTGTTACCTCTGCTAAAAATTAAGTCTGGCAATTACTTGGAAGTAAAAGGTAGTTTATGTTCCTAGGGAAAGGTTAGTCTTAAAATCGCTGTCGTGCTACAGCTATCACTCGTTAAGGACCTTCTTGGTATTCAGGGAAGAGAAATATCAAATCCATATAAACAAATTTTTATTGGGGGCTTAATGAATCGGCAAGAGCGTCCATTCCTAGAGAGCCACAGTAAAGAACTGTGTCTGAATGGTGTCCTTGGAACCATGAGACCTTGGAAATGAGACCTTTGCTTTGCCCTGCTCCCTGTACTGATGCAGACTGTTAGAAACACAGTTCACTCTTCTGGGCTTTTGTGAGTGTGCTGCTGAGAACCCAGTGGGCTGAACAGGCTCAGACATCTGTAAGCACTAAAAAGGCTGCCCTAATGCTTTGGAACATCCTCATTCTTCAGACACATATATAATATTCAGTGCTCCTACAATTATTATTGCCTGTGTTCTGCATTTAGAACCACCTTCACAGTGCAGGAACCCACCTCTTGTGGGGCATTTGTGCAAGGCTGAGGCAACATCTACCTTGCTCTTTCAATACTTGCAGCTGGCACATGCTCCCTGGTCTACCACAAACTTGGGTCACCAGCTATCTGGATGGTCCTTCAGGCTCCAGCAGGTACCTCTGTCTGAGCCAGGTATTAAGTTAAGGAGTACTGAAGGCAGGTGAAGTGAGCACATTTCTATCTGAAAAGCTTATGTCCCCAAACAGCTTAGTTCTGCTGCAGAACTGAACACAAAAGAGGACCTTCCAACACTCTGGGGCTCAGGAGACCTTTGCCTAATGTCCAGTCTGGTCGGAGAAAGCATATTCAGTGTTAGCTCTCATAAAGAGTAAATATATGTCTTCTATAGTTTCTCTCCTATTAATAAACCTTAGACAGCAAATACCATGTGAAGATTAATCCTTGTAGGGTTTTGGGCAGATTCAATTAAAAGAAGCCTGGGTGCAGTTTGCAGTAACAGTCAGCAAAATGCTTGGGAACCAAAATAAATGTGTAAGTTGTTAGAAAGTGGCAGTTGTTGCACACTCAGTCTCAGATGGAACTGTAAAGGCTTGCTTCCTGCTGGAGTTGGGACTGGTCGTGTGCCTGACCCACCAGTGCTGGAAGAGGACAACTCTTGATGAGTTGCATTGGAATTTGCTCGTATAAGAAGTGCTTGTAAGGAGCTGTTAATGACTGTGAAGACTGATTTTTTTTCCTTCTTCTAGAAACCAGTTTGCTGTTCTTAAGTGTGTTAAGTTGTAAAAATCTAAGCCAGAACTAAACACATTTTAAAACGAAAAAGATATTTCTAATTGTATCTTAGCCTTTCCCTGCCCTCTGCATCTGAATTCAAGACTAATTCAGAATGTTCCTGTGGCCTTCTCTTTCTTACCTGCTGGTAGTGTAGATTTTGTGTTGTTTCTGTGAAAAATTAGTCTGGCGTATTTTGCTTCATTGTTTTTTCTGCCTTTTGAGAGAGACCCTTACATTTTAAAATAACTCATGTGGAGCTAAAGGTCAGGAATGCTTGATTTTAAATGTTGGGGGGCATTCAGAGCATAAAATCTAGGAAGTTAGAGCATTTCTGTGAGTGTTCCTGTGCAGTCTTTGGAGGTGACACCTTTTATGAAGCTGTTAAGAGTAAAGGACATCATGCAGACTGGTGCTGTGGCACCGTTCTTAGGAGATCTGCACTTCATCTCCAATTTAAATGCTCATCCATGTGTTTTATTTCCCTTCAGGTTCTGGATTTATCATGTGCAGTGGCAAGGAGAATCCAGACAGCGACGCTGACCTGGATGTGGATGGAGACGACACACTTGAATACGGGAAACCACAGTATCGTTTTCGAAAGGCTCTTACTGAGAGGGAACCCAGCGGTGCTTCTGCAGCTGCCTTTCATACAGCACTGCCCTGGGAAGTGGTGGATAGTCTGTGTCCAGCCCTACTCCAGCCTTCTCCAATTACCATGTTGTTTGAATGAGTAGGGATTCCCAGTTACTCCCTATGAGATCCTTCTGTTGATGCAGCACTACTTCAGACCTGGTTGAAGTCTGGAGGAGACATTGCAGGGGATCAGTTAATGTTTTTTATTTTGTTCCATAAGCAATCTGTTGTCTCCATCCAGGTTTCTTCCATATGGATAACTTTTCCTGCTCCATTGGTAGGAATTGAGTTTATTTTCCACAAGACAGCTCTTTTTTTTCAGGGGTTTTGTTCAGTAAGCACTTCCCATCATCCCCTCTGACAGACTGATTTTTTTTTTCCCCCTTTCATTAAACAGTTTATGGGCAGATGTATCATTAAAGGCCTTTCTATAATTTGGGAAATCATTACTCTTATCAGCTGTCATTTGGAGATTTCTCTATCTGGGAGCCAGGCTCTTTGGACACAACTCTGGGAGAGCTGTGAGCAGATTTCTGCCCCATAGCAGCTGTAACAACCATCAAGGAGGAATTCCTGCAAGGGTATTGGCAGACACTGCCCAACTGTAACGAGGAGCAACGTATAGCTATGGAATTAGGTTTTATTGAAATCTGTACCAGCCTTTAAGATTGAAACCCCAACCCTTAGCTGGTAAAAGATCTCTGTACCTCAAACAGAAATAGTGGAATTGTTCAGGTTAGGCTTGCAGGGGTTGTGGAATTGATTTTCCCCTTCTAAGGGGCTGTGGCATTATGTTACTCTCAAAAGACTTTGCCGTTTCCTTCCACCTAAAACAAAACTTTAATCCAGAGTTTAAATGCAAGCTCCTTCATGGTTACCAGCCCCTCTTCTTTTGAGGTGTTCCCTGTTGGAATTAATTCTGTATCCCAGATAGTATCCCAACCACCTCTGCAGCAAGGCTGTGTGTTCCTTAACCCCTTGTGCTCAGGTACACAGAGGCAGACGTTATCCCTTGCACTGGAGAAGAGCCAGGTGAAGCCAAAGAAAGGGAGGCGCTCCGAGGTGCTGTTTTAAAGTAAGTATCGTGCCTTTCTAAATCACTTCAGTTACTTTTGGGGAATCTCAGTTTGCGGGAAAGCTTCATTGTCTTGAGTGCAAAGGTCGCAACGAGAGACTTACAAAGAGGCACAGTCTGACAGGTGGGTCTCCACTTCTACCTGTGCAGCCTCAAGAAAGCTTCCCTGCATGCTCTCCCTCCCTGAGCCGCACCACTGCCCAGGCAGTGCAGTCTTTGCCCTGAACAGTGCTGGACAGAAGGTGAATTCTGTCGATGAGGAAACTGTGCTGTACTAAGGGATCAGTCTTGCTTGACGATGAAGTGTGGTCTCTTAGTAGTATAGTGGGAGCCTTCCCAAATCTTGTTCAGCACAGTAAGAGTCTGGCAACCAGGCTGTGGTTTCATTGCATCCCATTACATGTTGTGGCATGTGCAAATTAATCCTTCTGTATTCAGCTCTGGATTGGGGCAGGGTGTGTGCTCTGCCCACATCCATATGTGGAGAATGTAGGCAGCCAGCATTCAGGGCACTTGGGAAAGCGTTCTAGGCAAATAAAATGAGTCTTACCAGGGAGCTAGGATTGCTTTCTAAGCCCTCTGCCCTGCATAAAACATGACTTAAATTACCCCTCTGTCTCTTTCACTGAGTGATCCTGTGAGGTCAAGGTTGAAGGGATTGATAGAGCAGTGAAATGAAGTTTTCTTACTGCTTAGCCTATTGCAAACACTAGTTCAAAATTAGGTTTCACTCCATAGAAGAGTGGCATTTGCCACACTGGATCCAAACCATTGGTCCATTCAATACTTTGTTAACCATGCTAGTCCAAAAGGCAGGGCCTCAAAGATGCTGAGCTCCTTCACAGCCAAGACTGTGGTGTTGTAGAAGAAGACACTGGATTGTCAGTAGCTGTGGACACTTAATGCTTGGTGAGACAACTGAGGGCCTGAGGCCAGGAGAGCCAGGTCCTTCATGTGGCTTGCACCCAACACATCGTTTTGCTGTTTGGGCAAGATCCTTTCAGGTTTCTTGGGCTTGTTTGCCCATCTCTAAAACAGGAGAGGTGATGTTGTTTGTAAAAGCACCTTGAAATTCCTGTGAGTTTCTGTAGAAATGCAGTGGTGTAGCTGAAGCCTGAGCCTGTGTTGCCTTTGAGTGCAGCTGTTCTTGGCACAGAGAGCTAAAGCATCACACACTCACAGCCTGCTCAGAGGATTCCTTTCTCTCACAGTCCCTCTTACTGGCTTGCAAGTGAATGGACAGGTTTAGGAGTTGTCTGTACTTCAGTGCTGCTGTTTTTGAAATGGGGTTTATGAAGGTGTAAAGTTATTCCTAAAGGGAGAAGCTATTCCAGCGCAGTGGGTTTCTGTTCACAAGTAAAGTTCATCTTTGAAATGGTGCATTCAAAAACGAGCCTTAGGTCACAGGTGCTGTTTGAATCCCAAGCCTTCAGTCAGCATCACAACCCCTGTGGGATTCTCCAGAGGTCACAGCTAGAAGTGCAGGTAGGGAGAGCACTGCTAGAAATGTGGAGCAGCAGCACAAAAACACCTCCTGCAGCCAGCCATCCGCTCACGTTTTGAAGCCTAGACTGATGGAGAGAGAGAATTAGGGAGTATTGAGAGAACTGAGAAGTATTGAGAGAGAAGTGGTGAGTGGGAGGGGTATCTTTTTTCTGAGCAGCAAAATTTTCCATATTCAACCTTTAGCATTCTGCCCTTTTCTCTTTCAGTGGTGGCACACCCAGTACTCGAATAACACCGGAGTTTTCTAAATGGGCCAGCGACGGTGAGTGTTGAACTTGTAAATTACTGATTTGTAAGCTACAGGAGGGCAGATTGATATTCCATATCTTTTGCTTTCCAGTACTTGGGCAAGGTAGTTACCAATGCTCTTGCAGAGTGTCATCAGATATATATGCACATACAGTCACACCATCTTTATGAAACTTTACAGCACAATTAATTGTAGTCAGTGGCAGCTGGGGAAGTTCCCAAAAATGCCACCTTAAATGGTATAGTGATAAGAGATAGGGATTGGATTGACTTTCTATTGCATCACCAAAAGGCAAACTGCTGTATTACAGAGGGAGCCTGCAGAGCTTGTGTGATGGTGGAACTCAGCTGCTGAGAGTTTAAACTACACAGGCACACCTATTGCTTGAGTTTTTTTCAACTGCTTGCTTATCTTCTTTAAAAGGGCATGCTAGAGACTTGTATCACGATCTTTTGGGTAAATCTTGTCTTTGCTGGCCTCTGTATGGCAAGAAAAGTCTGCATCTCTGAAACCTGCACCTTCAGAGTGGTAACTCTGGGATCTGTCCTACGTCATGAGCTATAGTTGAGACTCCAGAGCAAAGGAGTTAATGTGAATATGTACCTTTGCATGCACTGCTTGAAAGCTCATAGCATTAAGGAAGGGTTAAAAGCGTTAAAACCATTTGACTGCTGTTTTTTTTATTTAATGCCAGCAGCACTAAAAGTGTAAACAGCAACCTAGTGGAAATATGAGAATAATAAAACCTGGCGCTTTCCAGCTGCAGATGCCAAATCCATTTCCAGAGCTGGGCAGTGCTGCTCCAGCTCCCTTAGGAAGGGAACTGAAGCTCAGCGACCTGAAGAGACTTGTCCCAATGATTTTATTCCCTGTTTTGTTACTGTCATGCTTTGGGCATTTGATTCCCAGCCTTGAAAGCACCTACAAGACATAACTGCTTGCCAGTGGGAGGGGGTTGAGTAGAACCAGTTTTGCCAAGGGCAGGATGGTTAAATGGAGAACATAGGATATCTATCGCAGGCATTTTCTTCTGTGGGATAGGCAATCACATTTATTTTCTGTGATGTAGGAGCACTAGCTTGTAGGTATGATCAGCTGCAGTAGCTACAGCCACAGAGGTGATGAGGGAAGCAGCCCCCATGACACTTGATATGAGCTGTGTTCTTCGTACCTTTTATTACCTGAAGCTACGGTGCTGAGCCTATAGCCCAGGGGCTGGCCCCAGGACAGTTCATCTGTCTCATCTCCAGCTGGTGTCTCACACGCTCTCCAGTGCTGGGAGCAGCCATGATGGGCAGTCCTGTCATAATAGTTACCTGACATGCATTTTTCTGCTTGTGTGTGAGGGGTCTCAGCAAAGGAAGAAGCTGAGAGCAGGGTCTGGGCTCTGTGAATTTGCTCTGTAGCCACCTTTCTAGAAGTATAGTTCTGTGTGGCAGCTGCATCAATCCTTCTGAATGAAATCCTGGCTTAAACAACTGGCACATCTGTGAGCATCAGTCAGGATGAAATGGGGAGGGGGTAGGGGCTGTATCTTCAGCCTTGAATCATAGAAGAATTCTGTCCAGAGAGAGCCTCCTCCTGCAGACAGAGACATGTAGCGTAGGTGTCTTCTCTCTCTTACTGAGAATTGGCATGAAAATGACTCACTGGGGTCCTCTGAAACTATGACTCTCTCAGACTATTTCATTGCATTGATCAGGTGTTCCTCACTAATTTTTCTGTTCTTCCCTCAGCAGAAATGCCCTCAACGAGTAATGGTGAAAGCAGTAAACAGGAGACCATGCAGAAGACCTGTAAGAACAGTGACATTGAAAAGTGAGTGTGAAGTGGATAGTTTCCATTTTTCTTGTTTTAAGGAACCGTAGTGTCCCATTCGGTGCCGCCAGAAACAGTGGTGGTTGGGAGGGGGGGTGGGGGGGCATATTTGAAGCTTTTACCACTGAGAAGGGAAGTTGTGCTCCCAACATGAAGCCTGGACTTGGAGCACTTGCCACTGTTGTGGTCACAGAGGGCCTGTGGGGAGTTTTCCAGCACGTATCTGTGTGGGCAGGTACCCAGTGACAAGGACTTGGGCACAGCTTCCAGAGGGCTTCTCCACTGCAAGTTGCTGCCTTCTAAAATATGTCAATAGATCTATCCATGCTTTCCATCATATTCTAGTTGAGGTGAGTTTTCAAACGTTGTGCATTGCATAACAGCCTAGACCAGAGCTGGAACTTTGGACAAGAGGTAAAGATTCAAAACCTGCTTTAACCTAATGAAAGCAATTGGCTTGTCAAGCTGTACTTTGATCTTTTGGATTCCCTCTGCAAATGTATCATGGGATCCTACTTTTACTGGAGGAGTTATCTTGTCATTGCACCTTGGTTTTTGAGGGCAGTCTTTCCAGTGGCCTTTATTCTGTTTTGTCCGTGGTGTCTGCATGTTCCACCTTCCATCGCTCCAGCAAAAGGGAGAGGTGCTGCTCCTCAGCAGCACTGTAACTTGGCAAAAGCCTCACCGAGAGAATTTCCTTTTCCATAAGATCCATCCTGTGCCTTTGTATGGTTTCTAACAGAAATAATGTCTCAGTTCCTGAGTTTTTTACCTACAGCCCTTCCAGTGATTTAGAAGTTTAAGTCCCAGTGTTTGAATATACAGTAGTGCAGGGGACTCCTGGGCATCTCCTTTCCTGTCCCGTTCTGCTCACTGAATGTGCTGCAGTCTAGTCTGGGATAGAAATAAATGGTTTTATCTGCACTGTTCATTTGAGTAACAGCCTCTATCCTCGGCCTTCTTCCACACACTGCTAGAGTGACTTTTACTGCTCAGACAGATTTGATGGTCCAAACCTAAAACTGCAGGCTCTTCTCTGCTGCCATGAACTGCATTAGCTGGGATGGGGTGATGTTTTCAGTGGATTATTGCTTGATATAAAATGTTGCCCCAAGATCAAGTGAGAGACCAAAGAGCTTGAATGAGGTGGAAGCAATGAGGTAATGGTGGGTTTCAAACATTACATTTTGGGGTAGCATTAAGCTGATTTTACAGAAAGTTGTCATTTTTTAACGCACTTTGTTCTCCTTCTGCCCCTGGTCCTGACTTGAGAGGTTGTGTCCCCAGTACATTTCTGGATCTCTGAGAGTTCAGGCAGCCTGGCAGAACATATGTTCACCGTCAGGGGTTAACTGGGGAAACTCCTGCTGCAGAGGAAACTTTAACATTGCTCTGCTGTCTTGGCACTTTGGTTTTTACAGGCCTTTTTTTTTAGCATGTCCCAAATGTTGGCTGTCTGCTGTTCGATACCTCTCGGTGAGCAGAGTTTGGCCAAGGACCACTGAGTTTGGGAGCTTGCAGGTCAGTGCAGAAGCAGATTTGTCCTTGGAGTGAGCCAACCAGTGCATGCTGTCTTGGTGGCGAGGACTCATGCCTTCTGCCCTAATCTGTCAGCCTCTATCTCAGCTGCTGCTTGGCTTCCCTTTGGGCCTCCTGCCTGTCAGCCCAGCAGCCCTCCACCCTCCCAGATCCACTCCTATTGAAAATCTTTAAACTGCAGGAGCTGAAAGGATTTGACATTTTCCAGAACACTTGAGCTCAAGTGATAAAATTGACATAGCTTTAATAATCTGATCAAAGAGGCTTTAGCTAGCACCTTTTGAAGGGTCCCAGAATCCTTTCCAAACAACTCTCGTGCTAACACTGCTGTGAAGTGGGGAGAGCGTGTATGTGTGTGTGCATGTATATGAACACACACATTGCTCTGCAATAACCTTGCCCCACTAAAGCTTCAGTTCTGCTAAAAGTCAGCAAAACCCAATACAAATTGCAGGAAATTCCTTTAATGTCTTTCCAACAATGTTAATTTTTTAAAAGTTGCAGGGGGACCTTTTTATTTAAGGTGCTTTATTTTACCGTGCTTCAGAAAACAAGATGGTGTTTTAGGTGGAGAATTCCTAGCTGCCTTTTTTTTTTTTTTTTTTTTTTTTTTTTTTTTTTTTTTTTTTTTTTTTTTTTTTTTTTTTTTTTTTTTTTTTTTTTTTTTTTTTTTTTTTTTTTTTTTTTTTTTTTTTTCCCCCCTCTTCTTTCCTTTGAGACTCATGTGTGATAAATAGTTTCTGTCCTGCCATTTAAGGAGTCTGAATGCTCTGTGTGCTTGTCTGTGTAGAAGGGGTTCTGTTAAATTAATTGATAACAGGGATCAGAGCTAGAAGCCTACAGAAAGGAGGGGGAAGGGTTTCTCACTGTCTGGCTGTTTCCCACTCCACTGCTGAGCCATGATATATGGCGACCCAGCCCAACAGGCTAAATTGATTCATCTCTAGTTCCTGTTTCTTAATCTGGAGCTAAATTGGTTTCATTTTTCTTGTTTTGGGTGGCGCTTACAGGAAGTTTTTGGCAGCATCACTTTACTCCATTGTTTGTAACTTCAGTTTTTGCCTTTAAATCTGAGCGTTATTGATTGGCATGTTAAACCTTGTGTAGCATCTCATTAGCATTTTAAAAATTGTCCAGAAGCACGTGGCTTAGCACCTGTGTCAGCCGTGCTCTCCGCTCAGAGCAGTGGCTAATAGAGTTAGCAGCGATCTGCGTATTGATCCTTCTCTCGTAAGAATGACGTTCCTTCCTCCCCTCTTCCAAAAATAAGTCCAGGCAAAGAGAGCGGTGTGGGTTTGTTTGGTTTTTAATCCATTAATACAGTACAGTGAGCAGTCTTCCTCCTCTTGGCTGAAATTCTTTGCCTGCCCAAGTTCATTTAATCTAAACTTGGGGTTTTTTTGTGGGAGAGTCTCTTGCATGCAGAACAACTAGATGGGGTTTGGAGTCAGTCTGTGTCTGTTGCTCCACTCCTTGCGCTGTGCCAGGTCATCAGTAGCTTGGACAAGCTGATCTCATCTGATAGTGTTGAACTTCAGATGGCAGCCACAGCAGTGAGAGACGAGGTGCTGCTCCCAGCCCTTCTTCCCAACACTGCAGGGTGTCTCAGCCAGCCCTGCTGAGCTTTTCTAATCTCGGCCATGTGGGGTGTCTGGGAGACACCCTGGGGGGCTGAAGGCTCATGGGGAGAGGTGAAGGAGCGTCACATTGTCTGAGCCTTGCTTGTCTGCTGAAGACCCCAACCACTGCCAAGGCAAAGCTCAGCTGGTGCAACGCTGCTTTACCTCAACTTGAGATGCAGCTTTGCTCGGGGAGAGCAGCTGGTCCCTAATTGCCCAGGCATCCCCCCCACCCCCGACTGCTCCGCCAACATCTATTCTCAACACTGTTGCGCACAGAGAGCTGCAAAAAGCACCCTCCCCACAGAAAGTCTTCCTTGCTGCTCCCTCCCAGGATGCCTCCTGTGAGGGTCTGGTGCCGTTTTGAAACCGAGGTTTCCCCGGGGTTAAAAGCCAGCATCTTAATTCAGAGTGCCAATGTTCAATTTTGCTTTCTGCCACCAGACTAGATTGCAGGCCAGCGAGAGAGTCTGGGTTAGTGGCCCACTGGGTCACCTCCCATTTGTTTTCCTCAATTTTGTGTTGTCATAAATTCATTCCAGCCCGTTGTGGTTGATCAGTTTATCTCCGCCGGGGCAGGGAGCGCTGCGAGCATGATATATGGCACAGAGCATTGTAGCCAGCCTCTCCATGAATCACTCCAGCTGTTTGGTGTCAGCCCCAAAGCAAACAGGACCCGGCCGCTGAGCGTTGACTACGATGAGCTCAGTATGGGAAGAGACATGACGTATGAATGTTTATTTAATAATTCTCTAATATTTCCAGCGGAGTGTGGCTGTGCCTTCTGGGAGGGGTGAAAGGGGGGGAGGTTGAAGAGGGAAACTCTAATCTGTTGGGGTGGGTCATAAATCAGGCAGACAACATCATTAATCAGGGATGGGACAGAAGTGGAAGGAGGTGGGACTGGAACTGCCATCCTCAGTGGGAAGGGGGCTGTGCTTTTTTTTTTTTTTTTTTTTTTTGTAAAACAAATCTTGTTTCTGATTCCGCTTGGCCCCAGCCGTGCTGCCTGCGTAATAGCAAACCCGGACACAAGGCTGTTTAAGTGAGTATGCTACCTCTGCTCTGAACCTTGCGATACGAGCCTGCCAAGCATTAAATCCCTTTATAATTATCTTCTTTATATAACACTTCATGCTTATCATGCTTCATTGGACGAGACGCTCGTTGGGTTAAAAAGAGGGTTTTAGAGACAAAAAGCAATTGTGTTTGTTTTATTTTTCCTGTCTCCTCCTTCCTCCCCTTCCCCCCCCCCACTTCCACCTTACCTCTTTCCAATCCAGCTGCTCTGAAACATCAGCTCTGGAGGGGCTCTGGTGCAGCAGCACAGGAAGGAGCATCAGTTAAAATTGAACAAGTTTAGGTTGGGGTCCTTGTGTGAAGAGTCAAGCGTGTGAGAGCAGTCAGGGAGGCAGCAGTGCCTGTTGTGGGGACCCTGCTCCCAGACAGGTGGGTCAAAGCAGGAGCAGAGTGTGTGTAAAGCCAGAGGATTAGCAGAGGCCTGAAAGGGAAGGAGCCACGCTTAAGCTGGTATGTCAGAGGGAAACAGAAGCTGCTATGAATTCACACCACAGGATAAGCGCTTCCCAGACCTTCTCCATAGTGTCACACCATTTAATAGGCTTTGCCTGGAGACAAGAACATCTCATAGCAAAGACAGAATTAAAAAATTAACTGGAGTCATAAATGAACTAACCCTTTGTGTTCTGCAAGAGCATGATTCTGCTGGTGGATCCAGTCCTAGAGCAGCCTGTGTGAACTTGAGAGAGGATCCAGGAAGCTGAACTGAAGCGTGGGATTGTCAAAGCCAGGCTGAGAAAGAGCTGCTAGGCTATGCTGCTT